TACGAGGGACATTTGGGTAGGCAACGGCTCCATCGGCACTTTTCGCCAGATGCATTTCACATCATTTTGTCTGCTATAGCCACTGCCTGCTACTCATGTATTAGCACCTGAAGCATCGTTGGTGATGAGAGCGATGTGGCTCTAGTGGACAAAACGATGCAAGGTGCCTGAAACTGCCCGTGCTCAGATACCGCGGAGTCGTGGCCTGCCTGGACCTAAGGTCCTGAATGTTTGACTGCTCTAAAGCCGAGGAAAGCAAACCGTCAGTCACGTAAAGAGCAACAAAGCGAAAATTAGCAAGGTGGTCCTCCGGTATCGCGTTCCGAGCGCGCAAATTCGACAACGGATTGAGTGCCGCAATTTCTGCCTTCTAAAACGCCAAAAGAAGATGGGTCGGTCATATGGCTCGCCTGAGGGACAACCGGTGCACGTTAAGAATTACAATTTTTGTTCTGCTGCACCACGAACGCTGGGGTGGTCGTCCAAGACTATTAAGATGATCCAATGATCAAATTACTTGGTAAGCGATGGAGCTAAGAACAGAAAATAGAGAATATTGGATTAGCGTCGATGGCGCACCCATAACGAGTACAGATCAGAGAATGGATTAAGGTAAGTCTAAATTTTAAACAAACGTTCAGTGAAAAAGGAACTATGATTTATTTAACACTGAATTAAAAAGTTGTCATGAGTAAAGTACAATTCTCATATCAGTATAAAAATATTGTAGAAAAAGCACTCCTGAAAGTTAAATTAGAGAACAGATAACACAGCTGAACACAAGCGACGAAAATAAATGCAGGTGTACCGTAGAAAATACATTGATGCAATATACTTCGCGACGTGTATCACTCATCAAAACAAGACTCTAATTCACCGGATTCGTTTTAAAAGTGAATCTTTGTTCATAATTTTAAGTCTGATTTACTAACATAACTATTTTTGACTATTTTTTCAGCTTCTTTTCGTAATTTTTGATTGCCGCTGTCCTTTTATCCTGTTTTACAGTCTACTGTTAAAAGGGATGTCACCCTTATAGAAAGACTCTATGAAAGAAAAGATGAGTAAGAGAACCGAAAGGGTGATACGGCAATGGCTGATTACAAAGCTGCAGCTCATCAAGAAGAAATATTCTTTACATAACATATTCAACGTCGTGAGGTGCTAGAATGTACCAGGCACCGTAAGGCACAAGTAAATATGGATGGGATTACTAGCATATGATTGTGCAGTTCATAATTCCTGACAGTAATTACACACATCTCGAGTATATGAACGATATTGGTTGTCAAATAATTTGGCAAGTTGTCTATCTGCATTCATAAACATGACAAAACCTGTAGCGGAGACAAGGTTTCAAGTCAAACATTTGAACGGTCAGTTGGAACGTCTTCAATATGACTGAAAGTTAAGGATTCTACTTTCTGGTGGGACTATAAGAGAAAGACATTATTCAAGTATATAAATACATTGAATGAGTAGAAGTTAAGAACAAACGTTGCGATCTGTTCGCGAGGCAATGCACAAGACAGATATCAGAAAATGTAAGTTTCTATTGCACTTAGCAGTTGGAAAAAAATGAAAATATTCTTTTCATAAGCAATATGGTCGTAAATGCTATGATATAACATTGAGATTTGCGCTTTCACTAAGCAAAACATGGAGCAGCTATAACACCCATATCAAGGACATAATTCACGTCATAATAAGCATCAAATATTCGCAGAAAAACATTCGAAAATATCAAAACCTGGCAGTCGATTTGAAACATGTGTATCAACTAAAGAATGTGCGAACAATGACAGTGGGCATCTTTGCAAATGGACTCGTTCAGATATAAACTAAGCTCAATCTGGACCACAAGTAAACGATGGAAATAGAACTGTCGATATGCCATGATACCGTCATTGTGGATGCGACCTAGTGCGAAAAATTTCGAGTATAACAGATCTGTGGCAGGTAGCAGGTATCAGGTTGTAGCTAGTTGAATATGCTTAGCCTCTAAATATATTCTTCTTATGAAAGAATATCAAATAGAATAAAATAATAACATCCCAGAATACAGCGTTATACTTTCGGTTACAAACGAGCAGTGGCTGTAAAATGAAGAACAGAATCATTATGTGATAATCGCTGGCCTAGCTTCATGAAACAGTACTAAGCAAAAATGAAAACTTATTCAAGTATTCTATTCTTGCAACGTATGCGTGGGCCACTTCTACAAATTTTGGAAACATCAAATGGAAGAACCTGCTGTCAAGAAAGAGCATATCCTTTTTACCTGAATAAACCTTTAACAAACGATGTCATCTCTTAACCAGGCAGTGCGTCGCTGATCTGTGAACGGTTGAGACAGAATAGAATTTCAGCACTCTCATATCAGAAAGGACAAAATGTACGGCAATGCTGTCTGATGTGTGGGTCTGACAACTGAAATTCGCCTAGTCCCATTTTCAGTCTCAGTATTCATTAAAGCAATGCTGGACGATGCTTCTTTCTGCTTTCAGCACCAGCGTGTATATAAAATGCAGCAGCAAATCAATTATTACGCAATATACATAGAAAGCGAGAGACAATGTAATGCAAGAGGATTCACGACGCCATGAAATAAATGCGGTACCACTGATTTTCTGTACATTTCCGTTATTATTTTTAGGATATTGAAGTTCCCTTGTGCAGCATAGCTCCGAGAGTAGCAGGCCGTTTAATCTGTGTGAAGTGGTAAGTTATTGTGCAACATCAGTTTCGTACAGAATGCATTATTGTCCTAGGCAGTCTCCACCACGATTTTTGTCATGAGATTGTGCTGCAGTACTCCAGGTCTCGCGACTGTCCAAATACTTCGCCTCAGAAGCGCCATATAACCTATTTTGACGGCTCTAAAAAATACTGGAATGCAAACGAATTCAACACAAGATGTAGTACTTAAAATATTCTAATATTCCATTTCTTAAAAATATATTTACTACCAAAGATCGATGGAACACTGCAAAACAGCACAGTATAACCACGATAGTTCGTTTTATTTTTCGTATGCTTTAAATCAGAGTAACTTTCTTATCACATAAAATTACTATTTTGAAAGTGCAATTCACCTTGCGCCAAATGAAACAAGCAAATTTTCAATGCAACGGCCTGAAACTGAAAATAATGACTGGCACAGATTCACTTTTGGCTGAAAATTTCATTTGAATTCCTTTAAGTGGACGCAACTCCGCCATTGCGGGTCCCAAGCCCGGATGACAAACGAGGAGGGTTGGACACTGCGGCAAGTCTCCGTAAAATTCAGCCAAATATCACTCATGGTATTGACGACATCGAAAACTATACCGGCTAGGCCGTCGCCCGGGTTACCAAAGGCCGCGCAAGCTGTTGGTGAACTGAGGCAGATCGCGAAAAGTCGGCGATCAGAACCTGCTCATTGCCCTCTTAGAGCCAGGGGCGTGACAGCACAACGACGGCTGACGACCGACGCAACGACGACGCAGATACAAGTCATCAACGGAGTCGCTACCCGTTCTGAATGGAGGAGGCAGACAGCGCGTCAGAAAAGGCTCCAAGAAAACGACACCACCAGTGGGAGCTTAAAGTCGGAAATTGAACATATCCTCACTCAGAGAAAAAGAACATGAATTAGTTCATGAGGAGACGAAGTACCAACTCGACATTGTTGAACTCTCGTCAACAAAA